CAGTGGGGAGAACAAGTATTTGATACACTGCCGATTTTGCAGGTTTTCCTACTTACAAAGCATGTAGAGGTCTGTAATTTTTATCATAGGTACACTTCAACTGTGAGAGACGGAATCTAAAACAAAAATCCAGAAAATCACATTGTATGATTTTTAAGTAATTAATTTGCATTTTATTGCATGACATAAGTATTTGATACATCAGAAAAGCAGAACTTAATATTTGGTACAGAAACCTTTGTTTGCAATTACAGAGATCATACGTTTCCTGTAGGTCTTGACCAGGTTTGCACACACTGCAGCAGGGATTTTGGCCCACTCCTCCATACAGACCTTCTCCAGATCCTTCAGGTTTCGGGGCTGTCGCTGGGCAATACGGACTTTCAGCTCCCTCCAAAGATTTTCTATTGGGTTCAGGTCTGGAGACTGGCTAGGCCACTCCAGGACCTTGAGATGCTTCTTACGGAGCCACTCCTTAGTTGCCCTGGCTGTGTGTTTCGGGTCGTTGTCATGCTGGAAGACCCAGCCACGACCCATCTTCAATGCTCTTACTGAGGGAAGGAGGTTGTTGGCCAAGATCTCGCGATACATGGCCCCATCCATCCTCCCCTCAATACAGTGCAGTCGTCCTGTCCCCTTTGCAGAAAAGCATCCCCAAAGAATGATGTTTCCACCTCCATGCTTCACGGTTGGGATGGTGTTCTTGCGGTTGTACTCATCCTTCTTCTTCCTCCAAACACGGCGAGTGGAGTTTAGACCAAAAAGCTATATTTTTGTCTCATCAGACCACATGACCTTCTCCCATTCCTCCTCTGGATCATCCAGATGGTCATTGGCAAACTTCAGACGGGCCTGGACATGCGCTGGCTTGAGCAGGGGGACCTTGCGTGCGCTGCAGAATTTTAATCCATGACGGTGTAGTGTGTTACTAATGGTTTTCTTTGAGACTGTGGTCCCAGCTCTCTTCAGGTCATTGACCAGGCCCTGCCGTGTAGTTCTGGGCTGATCCCTCACCTTCCTCATGATCATTGATGCCCCATGAGGTGAGATCTTGCATGGAGCCCCAGACCGAGGGTGATTGACCGTCATCTTGAACTTCTTCCATTTTCTAATAATTGTGCCAACTGTTGTTGCCTTCTCACCAAGCTGCTTGCCTATTGTCCTGTAGCCCATTCCAGCCTTGTGCAGGTCTACAATGTTATCCCTTATGTCCTTACACAGCTCTCTGGTCTTGGCCATTGTGGAGAGGTTGGAGTCTGTTTGATTGAGTGTGTGGACAGGTGTCTTTTATACAGGTAACGAGTTCAAACAGGTGCAGTTAATACAGGTAATGAGTGGAGAACAGGAGGGCTTCTTAAAGAAAAACTAACAGGTCTGTGAGAGCCAGAATTCTTACTGGTTGATAGGTGATCAAATACTTATGTCATGCAATAAAATGCAAATTAATTACTTTAAAATCATACAATGTGATTTTCTGGATTTTTGTTTTAGATTCCGTCTCTCACAGTTGAAGTGTACCTATGATAAAAATTGCAGACCTCTACATGCTTTGTAAGTAGGAAAACCTGCAAAATCGGCAGTGTATCAAATACTTGTTCTCCCCACTGTATGTATATATTCTTAAATTCCATTCCTTACTAGATTTGTGTGTATTGGGTATATGTTGTGTAATTGTTAGATATTACTGCACTGTCGGAGCTAGAAGCACAAGCATTTCGCTACACCCGCAATAACATCTGCTAAACACGTGTATGTGACAAATAACATTTGATTTGATATAAAAAATTGCCTACATAAAGCCAACAAATAAAAACATTGCAGCCTGCAGGTAGAAAATATCCTGATCAAAATAAATCACATTGGCTTTGCATGGCCTGTCTTCAAGGAACTTGAAACATTGTATCAACTATCAACTTGGTCCAGCTGGAAGCTTGCCCTAACAAACTTGTAACATTGTATAAAATAATCTGGACCCTTAGTTTCCAGTGCCAGTGAGCTCCAGACAGACACAGCTGTAGGCTGAAGTAATCAGGTAGGCCTATTTTGAGGTTTCCACCGGATCAGAGCATTACATTTGTTTCCCCTTTCATGCTGATTGGTTATGGGAAGGGAGAGAGCTGGAAATATTTTTCAAATAGGCTACATTGAGGAACTATTGTCATTCTCAATGGATGGAAAAACAGACTTTGTTTACTTGTTGTTTGAGGTGATGAAAAAATTACTTTGAGAAGCTCAACAGCTCTTGACTGGTGGTGAGTTAAGACAATCAGAAATAGTATCAGATCCCCAAATGGGCACATTTATAAGCCTACATTTGCTCGCAGGCCAGGTAGACTAGGCCTACTTCTATGCATAATCAGGTGCGTGTCCTTACTCAACATTGACAGGAGGGCGCCAAACAAAACACAATGAAAAAATGGACAATTCGTAAATGGAATGAAATAAACCAAAACTTGTTTCTCACAAGTGTAGCCTAGGTTGTACGCTCTGAAAACAACGTGTCCACTCTGACAATGAGAACTGTGAAAGACAAATAATAATATATTGAATGCATTAACAGAAATGACAGTAACCAAATATTGTAGATTATAAATTATGGGAATTAACGGTACTACTGGTGATACTGTTGTGCCATCCCCGTCACCACAATGGATTAGTCCATAAACATTTTTTTTTTGCAACTGCTTGACAAAATAATTCTCAGTCGACCAACAGCCTATCAACCAAACAATCGACCAATAGCCCTAATATTTGGTGTGTAGTTGGTTGGCTTTGCTTGTTAGCAAGCTGAGATCTCTGCTCAAGTTGGCTAACATTAGCTAGCTTGCTAGCGATGTTTTGAGGAGGACAGGCTAGCTCCCTGTAGAATCAAGAGGGGATGGGGGAGAAGATTAGATGTGCAGTTGCTCCAATCGGGGTGTTGCAGTACCCAGACGAGATGACAGCAAACTGCTACAGAGATCAAATCTGAGATCTCACCTTTTGTCTTAATTAGATAGCTAATGTCAATGTCGAACCAATGCAATAATATACTGTAACGACCCGGTATTGTGTTCTGTGTTCGTGGGTGTGTTATCGTTCTCATGGGTGCTAGCAGGGGTTAAATATGCCAGGACAGATGGAAAGGTTGAGGGGGTATGATGGGTAATCCCGCGGGGTTTTGGAACGCTTAAATAGGGGTTACGGTCTCATCTCTCTCTCTCTCTCTTCTGTTCGGGACCCTTAACTTGACATGTTATATTTGTGTACGTTCGAGGTTTAGCGGCGTGGGCTGTTTCCTGAACAATAGCCCAATCAGGAATAAACCTGTGTTCTGCCTGTACACCTGGTGCCCGTCTCTCTTTTACTTTATGACCCAGCTGGGTCATTACAATACATTTTATTGGCTTGCTATGAGCTGCTTTTCATGAAAATGTAAATCTGATATAGCTAGCTAGTTGTTCTAGTGTAATGTCTATTAAATGTTACGGCCACAACATCATGATCATGCATCTGCAGACCAGCGAGGAGGAGAAATGCCTGCTTTGGGTGAGCTAGCTAGAACAACATCAACTAGATAGCTATAATATCAGATATACATTTTCTAGGAAAACATGGACAGAGCTAGCTATCTGTAGTAACATTATTATTTGAAAACACCTATCTGTGTTACATTCCATATTGTTATGTTTTCATCTATTTGTACTGTATTGCTATATGTCTTAAGTTGTACAAATCATCAGCATGAATAGAGAATTCTGCTGAACTCTGCCTCTGTTAGCCACACAACTACTGCCTCAGAGTGGTTGGGTAAGCTCCTTCCTAGATGGCCCTATCTAGGATCAGTTTTGCCTTTTAGATCATAATGAATGAAATGATATGGACTGATGGGACCTGAGCCTAGATCAGCACTCCTACTCTTGGATGCTTTGTGAATATGGGCCCTGGTGTAATGTGTGATTGTAGGCATGCCTTCACTAATTCCCCTTCTCTCTGTGTATCCCCTCCTGGAGGACCTGAGCCCCTGGTCATGCTGCCGTTCCTAATGCAGCTGTGGACCCCTGACCAGATTTCACTGTGCATGTTACCTTGTCCCGGATTAATTTTGTACCCACATCTAATCAGATCCTGAAAGCTTCACGGACATCTATCAACTTTACTGGCCCAGAGCAAGAGGAGAGTCGGGTAAAGACTAAGTTAAATAGATAGCAGTTGGGGAAATTGAGAATGTCTCTGACATTTCACTAAAAAAAAATCCTCACAAGGCAGAAAACATAAGCGTTCATACGGGTTCCATTGATGACTGCATCTCAGTGCTTGAGGCGTCACTACAGACCCCCTGGTTCGATTCCAGGCGGTATCACAACCGGCCATGATTGGGAGTCCCATAGGGCGGCGCACAATTGGCCCAGCGTCGGGTAGGCCGTCATTGTAAATAAGAATTTGTTCTTAACTGACTTGCCTAGTTAAATAAAGGTCAAATAAAATGGGGCTCAACCAATCACAGGTAGGCCTAAAATCTAGATTTTCTGCTTTCTTAAGTATAACGCATTCTGTGACCAAGACGCATTTAATTATATGCCATTTAGCAGACGGTTTTATCCAAAGCGACTTAGTCATGCGTGCATACATTTTTACGTATGGGTGGTCCCGGGGGTCGAACCCACTACCCTGGCGTTACAAGCGCCATGCTCTACCAGTTGAGCTACAGAACTGTTGTGCCTTCCATTTGTGAATGTAGGCATAGAAACCTTGTTGAATGCTCCCCTCCATGTTTCAAACCAAATAAATAAGGTAAGCTATGACTGAGAAATGGGATGGTTCTTTAAACTGGACACAGCTACATTCATCCAATGTTTATATAGGTACTTAGAAATTCATTAACAATAAAATATAATATGAATGGTATTAACTATTGCCCCCCCCAAAAAATCATTTACCATGCCAGTGTGCTACTTACTGTGTTAATCTTTGTAGTAGTGGACTTTGTTATTAATGAGACACTAAAGTAATTTATGTTCATGTTCTACCAGGATGATTGTGGGGAGAAAACGATTATGTTCACAGGAGAGGACACAGTACTCATCGCCAATGATTCAGAATCATCTATTGTTCTGCCACATGCAATGTAAATATATCTAACTATGGCAACATGGATTTTACTTTTTCAATTAAGAAAAGTGAGACTGGGTGTTCTCAGGACTAAACAGAGAATTGTGCCCCCTTTAAAAACTACCACCTCAGCCAGAGATATAGATCCAGAGTTTGAACATTTCCTTGCCAGTCTAACAAAGTCAAGTGGTCCCAGGGGCAATCCAACAACAATGGCATTCCACAGAGCTGCATCCCCTCCAGAAAAAACGGACAACAGATGTTTCCTTGCTGCGCTCAATGCACACAGGTCTAGAGTTGATAAAGAGAATCAGGTTCCAGCTTTGTCGACAACGCAGAGAGACTGTACAGTGGCCTCAGTTAGCCCTCAAAGGCTAGGGCCTCAGTTCATGAATACATCTACTATGCAAACTGAACAGGATCAGATGGATCTGACAAAAACCCATAGAACTTTGATAGATGGCAAAGGAGTATTTCAGTGTGTACAAACTGTAAGGCCTGAAGAGCAACGGCTTAGGGGAAGCACTTTCAGCCAGGTATCTGTCTCTACAGATCCAGATGAAATGGAGTTGACCAGGAGCCAAACTGTTGCCATTGACTCCAAAGCCATTGGGATGATAGGCCCAAATCCCCCTCTGAACATTGAAAGCAGAAGTGTGGTCTTCACATCAGATTCCAATAAAACCCAGATCTTCTCAGATGATGACCATGGTATGGAGATGACTGCAGCTCTCAATGTACCTCTCCGGGAGAATGTGTGTGCTCTGACCAAGAAAGGTGGATCTCCTTTGAGCCAAATCAACAGACCTTTCATATCACCTCATGCCCAAACTCAGATGACAAGATGTCAAACAGTTGCCATTGATTCCAAAAGTGTAGGCCTAATCGAAATCCCCTTACTGGGAAATACAAGGAAACGTTTATCCTGCATGAAATCCTCTCAGAGAGGTGTGTTTTTTACAGAAGACTGTAATGGTATGGATATGACCGAGGCCCTCACTGAAAATATTGTGGCCAACAGCCATACAGCGACCAATGAGAAATTGTCTGAACATGACAGATGAGACCACGGGCAGATTGTTCCCCATAACAAAACACCAAAAGGAGAGGTTTGAGAAGAGCCAGGATAGAGCAGAACTTAGTACCGATGACATGGAAATCACAATGAGCCAAACTGGGGTCATTGACGCCAGATGTTTGGGTGTCACAACGCCTTCACTCCGAGGTGATAGAGGAAGATCTGTCAGCATGTTGGATTCAACTAAAACACTTTGCGGGGAAGATGGCAATGGTATGGAGATGACTCAAGCTCTCACTGCACAGATATGGGCAAATGTTTCCCCATTCTGCCCATGGGAATGAGACTTTGGCTAGGATGTCCACAATCTCAAAGACACATTTCAATGGAGAAAAGGGCAATCATTTTGTTGGAGTGGGTCACAAAACCGATCAACATCAGTCTTTGGATTCAGATTATATGGATATGACAAGAAGTCAGACCGGTGTTATTGAGTCTGACAACATCAAGATGGGGCTTCATGACCCTTTCAGAGCGAGGAAACATTTATCCAGTGTGAGTGGGCCTTGTAGATGGTTCCTCCCTCAGAGCAGAGTGCACGTGGTGAGATTGCATTTCAGTTAGGTGCTGAAAGCGTCTGCAGCAGTAAGACACCTACATCTTCTGGCTCTGATGAAATGGAACTGACAAGGAGCCAGACTGTTGCAATTGAATCCAAATGGATTAACATGACGTTTACCTCCCAAACAAATGCACCATTAGGGAATGTGGCAAAGGTGTCAATTAGTCCGGCAAATGATATGGAAGTGATAAGACTAGTAGAACCGACACATTTTAGAAATAATCCTGTAGCTGTACCCACAAACCTGGAGGAGAAGGAAATGATCAGAGACGAAACTCAAATATTTTCTGAGGATCATGAAATTGAGATTACCAAGGCTGTCACAACGCAAATTGAACAACATGATGCACCCACCAATGATGACATGAAGGACCCTTCATCCACCACAAAGGCAATTTCCTTGTGTCTACCTGAGGGTCAACTTGGAGAAATCCCCACTAACCTTAGAGAACACTTTGACCTAAAGGGATTGGCAGACAATGAACCTGATCTGAAAGACGAAGACCGCTCCATTATTCCTAACAAACCAGAAAGTTCTCCCATTGCCTCTTCAGTCTCAAAAGACGATGATAATGTACCTTCAAAGAAGGCAAAGACCAGGCGAATGAGTTTGGACGATCTCCAGTTGAAACTTTAATCATATGAGCCGCATGATAAATTAATCCACTGAAGTAATGGGTAGCTGCACTGCACCTTTGTCTCAGCTGGAGAGGACCTCCGACAAACACAGTGTAGAGAAGGAATCCTTAACAGCTGTAGACTATGGGTCTAAGACCATGGGATTAATGACTGAGAATCCAGCAAGCGATGAATTGGAGGACCATATTATTCACAATGACAAACCTAATATGACTACTACTTTGAACTTGAAGAGTAAAAGCCTTACATCACGACTGTCATTTGGTGGTTTCCTATGGAGGACTAAAAGTGCCACAATTAAATAAATAAATACACCATTAAATAATTACTTAAATGTGTCATTAATTAATTAAAATTAGAATTAAATACATAAATGTGTAATTAAATGTATCATTAATTAATTCAAATACCGATTCATTTTATGTAAAATACATATATAATAATTTCACTATTTACATTTACATTTCATGGTCCTGCGTTGGAGTGCTTCCTGAATTACTTAAAACTGTCAAACTGACCCATCAAAAGTTGGTAGGCGGAACCTAACGCCTGATTGGTTACCCTCTGCATCAAGCCAAGACAAATCAATTCCGGATAATGTCAGCAGGTCCTGCTTCTACATCCTCTGCTAAGTTTAAAATGTCTCTAACCAACTCCCTGGAAAGTTCACGGAGATCCTCCATTGTCTCTATCCAGGTTGGCCTACTCTACTTCAGACCAAAGCAATGGATCAGACTAGATTCGCGTTAGCCCCGCCCACTGACTTTGATGGGTCAGTTTGACAATTTTAAGTAATTCATGAATCACTGCAATGCAGGATCATGAAATGTAAATGTAAATAGTGAAATAATTATATATGTATTTTACATAAAATGAATCGGTATTTGAATTAATTAATGACACATTTAATAACACATTTATGTATTTAATTCTAATTTTAATTAATTAATGACACATTTAAGTAATTATTTAATGGTGTATTTATTTATTTAATTGTGGCACTTTTAGTCCTCCATAGTTTCCTGCCCAAACTCCCACAAAGGGCCAAACCCTCTGAACCATACTGAGTGCAATAGTGTGACTGATTTTGGGAAACTTCTGAAGAAGAATAGCTTGGTTGGCACTCATGAACTGAGGAGCAACACCTTGATGGACAACATTGATGATGAAGTGCTTCCAGACATTAGCAGTGAAGCAGACTTATCAGAATCTTTGGACACAAAGTCTCCTCAGAGGGTCGACGACAAGGGAAATCTTTTCCAAGGCAAGGTGATTGAGGATGTTGTGGAGAATTAGGTTTTTAAAGAGCCGGTCCTAACTACTACCCAAAGTCAGAAGAGACCCCTACCAGGAGAGGGCCATGAAGACCCCATGGACCAGGAAAAGAGGAGGAAGCCATCGATGGAAAACATCAGAGAAATGGTAATTGCTATGTTTTTCATATCAGTTAACCTTTCTTTGTTAAATGTAATCAATACAAGTTAATACATTTGTATGCTTTTACATTTTATCTTGACAGATGCCACCCACACAGGTAGTTCAGTAGGACAGTAACTGTACAGGAGCTGCAGCTGATGCTTCCATCAGCAACTCCAACCTCCTATGTGAGGGAACATTTGAGTCAAGTGAGTTATGAGGCTCTTTTACTGCTGTCATTTCTTCTATCTCACTCAAACATATTCAACATCCCCTTGTCTGTCTTGATCCCTTTTTAAAGTGCATTGTCTAGATCAGGTAGGAAATACTAACTTGATTCCGTTTTGCAGCTTACAGACAAAGCCAATTAGTCACAGCTTGAGGACACTGGGGATACACATTTGATGTACGGAAGGAATGTCATCAACTCTCCCTTTTACATTGACTTTTCCTGTTAACATTTCAGCTATACTGTGTTTTCACTGCTCTTTCACATTTCATGTCAGAAACTCCAAGATGGCAGCATTACAGTGGCTGAGTTCCTGAAACTCTTCAGCATCGACTTTGTCATCCATAAACCTCGTCAGAGTATTCTGCCTGGCAGAGTAAATCTTAAACCTTTGTTTTTAGAATTGTATTTTGCTAACAAAATGTAATTACTAACTTTTGGGCAATTATTACAAAAGATAATAAAGGTACTATATACAGATTTCCCCCTTCTTATAGATTGCACCAGATCTGGATCGCAAAACAGAGGACTTGTTAATTGAGAAGCATATTAACCATCTCAAACAGCGGGTATATGAGACGGACTGCCAGATACTCAAAGAAATGGTGGAGGGGTATGTTTAATGATACATGTCATTGCCAACTCATTGTAAAGCTTTATATATCATTTTGTTTACTGTAAGATTAAGTAAAAAAAATTATGCTCAAATCTGTAACCTGCTTTTAGTAAATAACAAGCCACGTATATCTATTTGGTGTATTTTCAGGTTGAAAGCACGTCTGAGAGACCAAGACAATCTTCTGAAAAGTGTTCATGGGACACTTTGGGAGGCAGTGAATAGCTTTTCAGATGAAGAGTATTTTATTTTATTTGGTTATTTGTGGATTTGTCTCCCTCTTGCTATTTCTAGTCAAAGGTGGATATAGAAATGATCCATTTGGACAACCCGTCTTGATGTTGTGGCTTATCCCCAGTTGCAGCTTTTTGGTGCCAAGTTGAAAGAGAGGAGGACATTCTTCAGAAAGAGAAGCAAAGTGCGCTCATGAAATGAAAGCCGTTTTGTACTCTGACCTTGTGCACACAACTCTGGTAAGACCCTTGATGAGAATGAGAATCCCTTAATTATGTTGCGCTAGTAACCTTTTGGACGGAAATATACTTACGCGTTCCACATTTGTGTGTGTGCATAACTCGGCTAATAAACTGTTTCATTGATGTCCCATTACGTCTTCACAGGAGGCACAACATAACTTGAGAGAAAAGATTGAGAAGATGGATAAGTTGCTGAAAGACCTTGATGGATGTCTATATGACTTGGAAGCTTGTATTTGTCACGCCCTGGCTCTGGGGACTCTAATATGTTGAGCCAGGGTGTGTAGAGTCTATGTGTTTTGTTCTATGTTCTCATTCTAGTCATTTGTGTTTCTATGTTGGCCAGTGTGGTTCTCAATCAGAGGCAACGTGAATCAGCTGTTGCTTGTTGTCTCTGATTGGGAACCATACTTAAGCAGCCTGTTTTCCACAGTGTATTGTGGGATCTTGTTCCGTGTTCCTGTGTAGGTTTGTGTTTGCACTTTTGGACGGCACGTATCGATTTTGTTGTTTTGTTCGTGTAAGCATTTAATAAATAAGTATGTTTGCATTCCACGCTGCGCCTTGGTCCTCCTCCTTCGACGATCGTGACAGAAGATCCCACCAGAACTGGACCAAGCAGCGGGTCCAGGAGCCATCGCCAGGGAAATCTCTAGCGGATATCCAGCGCCTCCTCGACTGGGTCAAGCCGTGTGAGCAAGAGAGGGGCTTGACTTGGAAGCAGAAGGGCGAAAGGCTGGCGAGAGATCTGGAGACCTGGTCCACGGGAAGGAGAGAAGCCCAGAATTTTTAGGGGGGGGCTCACGCCGTGGACGACGGGGCAGCAGGAGACCGCGATAGAGCGGCCCAGCGGGTTGGCAGAGGAGGCCGCCAGGTTACGGGGGCCACTGGTCAAAAAGGGGAAGGAAGGTGTAGAGGCACGGCGAGAGGTACTGGGGTGTGTTACCAGTCCGGTCCGGCCCGTTCCTGATCCCTGCGTAGGGCCAGTGGTGTGTGTCCCCAGTACGATCCGGTCTGTTCCTGTCCCTTGCACCGAGCCTGTGGTGCGCGTCGCCAGCCCAGTCCGGTCCATTCCTGCTCTCCGCACCAAGTCAGTGGTGCGCTTCGTCAGCCCGGTCCGGCCCGCTCCTGCTCCCCGCACCAAGCCAATGGTGGGCGTCGCCAGCCCGCCCCGGCCTGTTCCTGCTCCCCGCACCAAGCCTATGGTGCGCGTCGCCAGCCCGGCCCGGCCTGTTCCTGCTCCCCGCACCAAGCCTATGGTGCGCGTCGCCAGCCCGGCCCGGCCTATTCCTGCTCCCCGCACCAAGCATATGGTGCGCGTCGCCAGCCCGGCCCGGCCTGTTCCTGCTCCCCGCACCAGGCCAATGGTGCGCGTCGCCAGCCCGGTCCGTCCCACTCCTGCTCCCCGCACCAAGCCTATGGTGAGCGTCGCCAGCCCGGTCCGGCCCGTTCCTGCTCCCCACACCAAGCCAGTGGTGTGCGTCGTCAGTCCGGCACGGCCCGTGCCTGTTCCACCGGTGCCTGGTCCGGCACCGGTCAGCTGCTTCACGCCGGAGCTAGAGCAATCCGCTCCACCAGTGTGCAGTTCAGCTCCGGTCAGCAGGGCCAGACCGGACCAGGGGTACTTTGGGGGGTTGGAGAGGGAGTGGGGATCAGGCCCGGAGCCGGATCCGCCGCCAAGGCAGAGTGCCCACCCGGTCCCTCCCCTGTGGTGTTTGGTTGGCGCGGCCGGAGTCCGCGCCTTTGGGGGGGGGGGGGTACTGTCACGCCCTGGCTCTGGGGACTCTAATATGTTGAGCCAGGGTGTGTAGAGTCTATGTGTTTTGTTCTATGTTCTCATTCTAGTCATTTGTGTTTCTATGTTGGCCAGTGTGGTTCTCAATCAGAGGCAACATGAATCAGCTGTTGCTTGTTGTCTCTGATTGGGCACCATACTTAAGCAGCCTGTTTTCCACAGTGTATTGTGGGATCTTGTTCCGTGTTCCTGTGTAGGTTTGTGTTTGCACTTTTGGACGTCACGTATCGATTTTGTTTTGTTCGTGTAAGCATTTAATAAATAAGTATGTTTGCATTCCACGCTGCGCCTTGGTCCTCCTCCTTCGACGATCGTGACAGTATTTTGGATTTTAGTTCATTTTGACAATTTCAATATTTTCCACTGTAATCCCATTTGAATTTGAACCAATGGACATAATATCAGTTTTCATAATGCATGCTTGTCATCCTCTTAAGATAATTGGGTTATTAGAGGTGGTAATTGATTAGAATTTTCAGAGGTTTTTTCATGCTTCTTTTGTCTTCTGTCTGCCACACAACTTGTAGCTTTGGAAGGCACCGGGGTAGAGAACTGTGAGATGACTTTGAAATCAAGGCAGCAAGGTAACTTGTGATACTACAAAATCTTCAGGTTTTTTTTTTTATTAATCAATGGTGTGCTTGGTATTTGATGTATTTATGTTGAATTACACTCTTAACAGGGGTGGAGAATGTAAACAAAGCAATTGCAGAGAGTGAAAGGTAGGCCGACATTTCTTGAATCATAATTTAGTGCAAATAAATTTAGATTTAGTCCATTTCAGTTTTTCTTTTTGCCAGAGCTATGGTCTCTCTATAGAGATTTTGATTTGTGTTACATTACTCGCTTCCGCCGAATGTGCGCACAAATAGAAAACATACGTTTTTCTCCACAGGCAAATGTGTGAATTGGAAATGCAGAAGAAAAACTCTGTGGACGAAGTGGACAGGCTCAGAAAGGAAACTCTGGAACTTGAGAACCACATTGCCATGCTGGATAGGTCCGTTTCTGATTTTCTGTTATATCAGGGACCCCCCCCCCCCCCCCCCCGCATGTACAACTATCATTCCATTCTACTTTGAATAAAATGTTTTTGTTTAATGGAAATTCGGGGTGAAAGATGACAGGAAGACGAGTCTCTACGAGTCCTTGCTGTTGGAGGTGCAGTTTCAGAAACCTAGCGGTAAGATGTAACTATTTTCTTGCACCCAAGGTGCTAGTATGTTTATGGTAGTTTTGCTCTGGTTTCTTTCAAAGGGTTTCTTCAAGACAAATGTCAATGATTTTCTAAAGCTTTGCTCTTATTCAGGAGATGTCTGTGAAGAGACTGAGCGTAACATCATGGACATCACATTTCAACGCCAAATGGAAGGTGGGGAGAAATTAAGCTCAATGACTCTTTTAATGTAGAATATTCCCTTGATTTTTCTCTTTCTCACAGATGAAAAGTCACATTGCTACTTTCGCCTTGTGCACAACCTGCTATGCCAGTACATTGGCAGTGAAACCACTTGGATCAAGAAGTACCCGACCAGTCGATACATTCCCACGGTAAGTGTGGGTCTTGGTTAAACATTTATTAAGGAGGATACACACTAAGGTCCAGAAAGAGGGTTGGTGTTTTAAGTGTATCTCCCAGAATCACCTTTTTATGTCCACAGAGGTTCTGTTTTGGCGCTATAATATGTCTCTTTCTCCAGCTGCTGCATGATGTGGGTCTGGTGGTGAGCCGCTGTCGCCTCCTGGGAGAAGAGATTAATCTGATGAAGAAGTGGGGGTGCTCTGAGGCTGGACATCCTGGACATCAGCTGTGTGGACACACGGTAAGATCACACACCTTACTGTAGAAATAGAACTCATAGAAAGGACATGTACCCTCATATCAGACCACCAGAGAATGTTGACTGGAATGGGACTGACTGTTAAAATGTGTGTGTGTGTATGTGTATATATATGTATGTGTGTATATATATATATATATATATATATATATATATACACACACAATAGATATATGAATGCAAAACAACATTTTTCTTCTTTATTTCAGAGTTCGAATCCTGTTCTCCAGTCTCAAGACATTTACCAAGTTTGAGATTACCGTAGATGTTACCTCCGCCTACCCCTTCTGTCTCCTCCTTCATGTGCAGAACTTCCAAAATCACATTGGAAACACAACGTAAGACTTAAGGTTTATCTTCTCACGCACACACCTGTTTCTAGGCAATTGGTTGTACTTTGTTGCAACAGGGCACCTTAAACAACTGTAACACTAATTTCATTGTTTCTATACAGGAAAGACCAGAGGACATTGTATCATCAGTAACACCAGCCAAGAACCACTTGATCAAGATCGTCAAGCGGTCCATGAATGTCTGCTGTGAGACCAGCTCCAGTCAATAGTTGTGCTACATTCCATGTAGTGAATGAAAAATATGTATACTGAACAAAAATACAGAGTTACAGTTCATATAAGGAAATCAGTCAATTGAAATAAATAAATGAGGCCCTAATCTATGGATTTCACATGACTGGGCAGGGGTGCAGCCATGGGTGGGCCGGGGAGGGCATAGGCCCACCCACTGGGCAGCCAGGCCCAGCCAATCAGAATTAGTTTTTCCCCAGGCATAGGTCCCCCCACCCCTCTTCAGACGATATGCCAGACCTGTGGATTATCTGGGCAAAGGAGAAATGCTCACTAATAGGGTTTTAAACAAATTTGGCACAACATTTCAGAAAAGCTTTTTGTACGTTTGGAACATTTCTGGGATTTTTTATTTCAGCTCATGAAACATGGGACCAACACTTTACATGTTGCATATATATTTTTGTTCAGTGTATATGTTTTTCAGTTCCATTTATTAATACTGTTCAATACCCCATTGTCTTCTATGTGATAGTTTTAAATGTCTACTGTAAGTTTTGATAATGATTGTATCATTTTTGTTTAAGGGATAAATAGTTGTCTTGTGTTGTAAAAGTTGGCAATTGCATATCACCTTTTATGTATTGCCTCTAGCAAAACTATAGAGAGAATGACATTGACAACTGGAAAAAAGCTTGAATAACAAAAATAGTCTTAATTGTCAATCATTATTAAAATGTTAATACAACTTTTACCCATGTTTTCTCTTCCGTAGGATAACAATTTTATGGTAGACCAGTGTCTGTAAAGTTGGCTCCTCATTACCCTTTCTGTGAACATGGGGGAAACAGATCAAGTTATATTGTTTTGACGATCATATCTGGCCATCATACCGACATGATTTCATAGAATGGAAAGTCAACAGTATCATTACATTGACATACTGGTATGCTCATATGGCTGCATCTCAGTAGTCCTCTCATTGTCTCCTTCCCTTAATCTTCTCTGATTTGTAATGAGTAGGACTAGCTATAATAGTGCGCCCTGCCCACTGAATTTTGCTTGCTTCCATATACTCTGTATTTTTCCAGATCAGTGCAGAGAAAGATTTCTAAATGGTGCAGATCAAGGGAATGAAACAAGGTGAGGAAGTTGATTTAGAGATGCAACCCAACCATTGACGTATAAAAGAACCCAACACTTCTCAATCCTAGCCCGAAGAGAGGGGGGGGGAGGGTAGGGGGCGAGCACGCCCCCATCCACATCAACGGGGCTGCAGTGGAGCAGGTCGAGTGCTTCAAGTTCCTCGGTGTCCAAATCGCTAAAGACTTAAAATGGTCCAAATGCGCACAGTCGTGAAGAAGACGCGACAGCGCCTCTTCCCCCTCAGGAGTTTGGCATGGGCCCTCAAATCCTCAAAAGTTATACAGCTGTACCATTGGGAGCATCTTGACTGGCTGCATCGCTGCCTCGATCGCATGGCGCTACAGAGGGTGGTGCGGACAGCCCAGTACATCACTGGGGCCGAGCTCCCTGCCATCCAGGACCTCTACATGACCAGAAGTATGTGGACACCTGCTCGTCGAACATCTCATTCCAAAATCATTACATTTATATTTTAGTCATTTAGCAGACACTCTTATCCAGAGCGACTTACAGTTAGTGAGTGCATACATTTTTCATACTGGCCCCCCGTGGGAATCGAACCCACAACCCTGGCATTGCAAGCGCCATGCTCTACCAACTGAGCTACAGGAGGCCTAAAATCATCAGCATTAATATGGAGTTGGTCCCCCCTTTGCTGCTATAACAGCCTCCACTATTCTGGGAAGGCTTTCCACTAGATATTGGAACATTGCTGCGGGGACTTCCTTCCATTCAGCCACAAGCATTAGTAGGTCGTGCACTGATGTTGGGCGATTAGGCCTGGCTTGCAGTCGGCGTTCCAATTCATCGCAAAGGTGTTCGATGGAGTTGAGGTCAGGACTCTGCAGGCCAGTCAAGTTTCTCCACACCGATCTCGACAAACCATTTCTGTATGGACCTCGCTTTGTGCACAGGGGCATTGTCATGCTGAAACAGGAAAGGGCCTTCCCCAAACTGTTGCCACAAAGCTGTTCCCTTCACTGGAAATAAGGGGCCTAGCCCGAACCATGAAAAACAGCCCCAGACCATTATTCCTCCTCCACCAAACTTTACAATTGGCACTATGCATTGGGGCAGGAAGCGTTCTCCTGTCATCCGCCAAACCCAGATTTGTCCGTCGGACTGCCAGATGGTGAAGCTTGATTCATCACTCCAGAGAACGCGTTTCCACTGCTCCAGAGTCCAATGGCGGCGAGTTTTACACCACTCCAGTCAACGCTTGGCATTGCACATGGTGATCTTAGGCTTGTGTGCAGCTGCTCGGCCATGGAAACCCATTTCATGAAGCTCCCGACTAACCGCTCTTGTGCTGACGTTGCTTCCAGAGGCAGTTTGGAACTCGGGAGTGAGTGTTGCAACCAAGGACAGACGTTTTTTACGCGCTTCAGCACTCGCCGGTCCTGTTCTGTGAGCTTGTGTGGCCTACCACTTCGTGGCTGAGCCGTTGTTGCTTCTACTAGATGTTTCCACTTCACAATAACAGCACTTACAGTTGACCGGGGCAGCTCTAGCAGGGCAGAAATTTGACATACTGACTTGTTGGAAAGGTGGCATCCTATGACGGTGCTACGTTGAAAGTCATTGAGCTCTTCAGTAAGGCCATTCTACTGCCAATGTTTGTCTATGGAGATTGCATGGCTGTGTGCTCCATTTTATACACCTGTCAGCAACGGGTGTGGCTGAAATAGCCAAATCAACTCATTACTTTTGTATATATAATGTATATCAGGCCCGGAAAATCGTTAAAGACCCCAACCACCCAAGCCATAGACTGTTCTCTCTGCTTCTGCACGGCAAGCAGTACCGGTGCATAAAGTCTGACACCAACAGGCTTTTGAATAGCTTCTATCCCCAAGCAATACCACTGCTAAATAGCTAACAAAATAGCTACCCGGACTATCTGAGTTAACCTTGTATCTTTATGCTCACTCACAGGGCCCTACACACTCACACACACACTCACTCCATCATCTTCTCACTCATACAGAATATGCTCAGTTGGTAGAGCATGGCGTTTCGATTCCCACGAGGGGCCAGTATGAAAATGTATGCACTCACTAACTGTAAGTCGCTCTGGATAAGAGTGTCTGCTAAAGTGTCAAAAGAATAATGTACATTTATACTGACGCTACACACACGCACACTCACTCACATACAAGCTGCTGCTACTCTGTTTATCTTATATATTGTTGCCTAGTCACCTTAACCTTATACATATCTACCTCCATCACTCCAGTGTCCATGCACATTGTAAATATGGTATTGGAACTGACCCTGTATATAGTATGCTATACTTAATTGTATTCTTCATATTTCTTTGTATTTCGTGTGTTTTGTCAAGTATTAAATTGTTATTGATTATTGCATTGTTGGGTTTTGAGTATGCAAGAAAGGCATTTCACTGTACTTGTGTATGTGACATTAAAAACTTGAAAAATTAAATTTGAAATAAAGACAGGCAGATATTGAGTCATAAGAGTGCTGAGATAAAACGACTCAAGGTCGCCATCTGCCGGCCTTTGGGCTAGTCCAATCTCAGTGCTCCAGATGAACTGTCTGTATACTCTGAACTGTTGCCAATAGTAGTTGCCCTCCAGTGGGTGGAGGACGTTCAACCTGTTAGAATTGAATTATGCTCAGATTCTATTGAGTAGTTTGTCATCTGGCAAATCTTAATAGGAGTCATAAATTTTTTGAGGCATTAATGCTATTATGGAGAATCGTTAGACTGGGAGTAGTAGTGCGATTCTGCTTGGTCCCAGCCCACTCGGGTGTGGGAGTGAATTAAATTGTAGACCAGATAGCCAAAAGGGCTTTAACACAAGTTAAAATTGATATTCATGTTCCACTGGGTAGAGGTGAGGCCAAATGTAAGATCAGAGCCATTTTGATAGATGTGTGGCAGAAGAAGTGGGACTCCGAGCCCAAGGGCTGGCATTTATATGCCCCCCAAAGAAAGGTTGGTGGACCAAGATTCAAAGGTCAGTTTAGGAAGGAAGAGGTGATGTTTGCTCGGTTGCGCCAAGGACATTTTTCATTTAACGTGTCTTTACATTTGGTTGGCAAGCATGTGAATGGTTTCTGTCCGGCCGGCGTGTATGGTTGATGAAACGGTGGAGCATGTGCTGTTGTATTGTTGTATGTGGAAGAGAGGGAAAGATGAATGTGTAGGGTTATTGGGGTTGGAAGGGTTTTGGGGGATGGGGGAGGGTTTGTTAGAAGTTAATAGGGCTCTTTTTTTTCTTCTTTGTAGTGCAGGATTAGGCAGGAGTAGGAAGTTTTAGGTTTTCTTAAAGGCCCAGTGCAATCAATAACGTGATTTTCCTGTGTTTTATATACACTACCAGTCAAAAGTTTGGACACACTTACTCATCCAAGGTTTTTTCTTTAATTTTACATTGGAGAATAATAGTGAAGACATCAAAACTATGAAATAACACAGGAGGATACGTTCATTAGAGTTACCAGCCTCAGAAATTGCAGCCCAAATAAATGCTTCACAGAGTTCAAGTCACAGACACATATCAACATCAACTGTTCAGAGGAGACTGTGAATCAGGCCTTCATGGTCGAATTACTGCAAAGAAACCACTACTAAAGGACACCAGACCAAAGGAAACATTTACACCGGTCTAATGTCCATTGCTCGTGTCTCTTCTTCTTATTGGAGTCCAAATTTGAGATTTTTGGTTCCAACCGCTTTGTCTTTGTGAGACGCGGTGTGGGTGAACGGATGATATCCACATGTGTGGTTCCCACTGTAAAGCATGGAGGAGGAGGTGTTATGGTGTGGGGGTGCTTTGCTGGTGACACTGTCTGTGATTTATTCAAGGCACACTTAACCAGCATGGCTAGCATAGCATTCTGCAGTGATACGCCATCCCATCTGGTTTGGGCTTAGTGGGACTATCATTTGTTTATCAACAGGACAATGACCCAACACACCTCCAGGCTGTGTAAGGCTATTTTACCAAGAAGGAGAGTGATGGAGTGCTGCATCAGATGACCTGGCCTCCACAATCCCCCCGGCCTCCACAATCCCCCGACCTCCTCCCAATTGAGATGGTTTGGGATGAGTCGGACCGCAGGCTGGGCGGTGTTCCATGGCGAACATGCCAACGGGAAAAGGAAGGATTTTTTTCCCATGGCAACGTAGTTCAGTGTACGCTGATCGCCAGCACTAAATGTCAATCGGCTAAAGTGTGTTCAATGTCCCGGTTTTGGGGCGATTCAGTCAGTGAAATCGCCCAGAGTCTCTCATAGCCTCTAATGTAAAATATTTTTTTTTCAAATTTCTGAGCTTTCAATACATTCTCTATGGGTGTCTGAGGGCTTGCACTTACGCGCTTTCGTCATACGTAACGTAACGTAACCATGAACGGCAGACAGCAACGCTTGGACAGCGACTGGTGTAACCGACATGCACCATCTTTCAGAAAAGATTAAGAAAAATGAGCTGTCAAAGACCCACATTGATAGCTGTTTGAGATTGTCTGCTTTGGTGAGAGTGAATATTGCCACTCAACTGGATGAGGGATACAGGCTAGCTGTCCGCCGCCACAACGATGAGGTTAGCAACAGCAGAGTCGTGAACACTGTCTACGAGAATCGAGACGACCTCATAGAATGTTTTGAAGCCATCCGGACGGGTTCATTGGGTTCATTTGACCAGCCCACCGTACCAGAAGCTACAGAATAAGGACATCGATGCTGTCTTTATCAAACGTGCCCTCGACAGCTTCGCAAGCAGTGTGCAGGCCATAAGGTAAGATAAAGATTAAACAATATCATTCGATCTTTCTCAAAGCAGAGCTTTATTTGAAAATGTATGCATGAAAGGAGACTGCATTTGTGTTTGAAATTACATTATTGTCATTATATATGGCCAGTGGTGTAATCTATCTTATTTTATATACTATGTGTACTGTACAGTGGTGCTCATAAGTGTATGAACACATTCTAAAGCTGACTAAAAAGAGGAATAAAAAAATAAAAAAATCTGTTCATGTTCATTTTTACAAATCTATACAATTGGCCAGAATATGGTTGTTCATATTTACAAATCTATACAATTGGCCAGAATATGGTTGTTCATTTTTACAAAGCCATACATATTGTTTATGCAGTGTTGAGGAATGTGAAAGAACACCCTTGATTATTTTTACTGTGATAACTTATTTTGCTTTTGTAAGCCAACACTTTTGAGATCAGTCAATAAATGCTTCTGGTATTGACTTATATGCTGCCCCTGTCTTCCGCAGAGTGAAGGAAAAGCAGCCAACAAGTGCTCAGCATATGTGGGAATTCCTTCAAGACTGTTGGAAAAGCATTCCAGGCGAAGCTGGTTGATATAATGCCAAGAGTGTGCAAAGCTGTCATCAAGGCAAAGGGTGGCTATTTGATGAATCTCAAATATAAACTATATTTTGATTTGTTTAACACTTTTTTGCTTACTACATGATTCCATTTGTGTTATTTCATAGTTTTGATATTCTACAATGTAGAAAATAGTTAAAATAAAGAAAAACCCTTGAATGAGTAGGTGTGCCCAAACTTTTGACTGGTACTGTATATTTCCACAGTGGTTTTGGCCTGCCTGGTGACATTACCAGGCGCTAAATAGGTCAATAAGAAAGAGAGTTCCAAACCTCTATGCCAATAAAAGCTAGTTTTCAGTTTTCCCCTCCACACTCAGACCACTCCAAGACAGTCCTAGCAAAATTCTTCCTTAAGAAATTGGTCTTTGCTAAGAAGCTATTTTTGATTCTATTTGACAATTTTAATTGAAAAACAATCACATTTAATTGTTACCCAGAAATTATTTGATAATGAAATAAAAAAGGCTGCATTGGATCTTTAATGTTTGGTTACTTTAATTCTTACATCTGTAAACTGTGATTGACTTCACATTCCAGTGCAGTAGGTGGCGGCATGCACCTCTAACGTTTGTTTGCGGACTGCTATTATATTAGAGAAGAATCCCAGCGTTCGGGTCGTCACTAGTTACCACAGACACAAAGTCATAAACCCCGCCTATTTCTAATAATAATAATAATAATAATATGCCATTTAGCAGACGCTTTTATCCAAAGCGACTTACAGTCATGCGTGCATACATTTTTTTGTGTATGGGTGGTCCCGGGGATCGAACCCACTACCTTGGCGTTACAAGCGCCGTGCTCTACCAGCTGAGCTACAATTTATCTTCTTAAATTTTGATTTTAACCGTAACCTTAACCATACTCACATACTGCTAGCCTTATGCCTAACGCAAACCTTGAATTAAGACCAAAGAGCAAATTTTTGTTTTTACGATAGAGCCAACTTTGTGGCTGTGGTTACTAGTGAAAACCCTGCTCTCGAAAGGACAGCGTATTTACGTAGGCCGCTCAACAAGTACGTTGATTTGCGAGCGGGAGATTTTTGTTCAAGGCAAGCAAGATAAACTGGAGGTAAGTGGACGCTGTTATTGTAACATTGGACAAATCCTATTCAATCACTTTAAATTAACATGAGTTAGCTACTATTTTGAGCGAAACGTCGATAACTCAGTTAGCGTTAGTGAAGTGCAAGTAAGCCAAGTCAAATACATGCCAGATGATTTAATTGTCGGCTCAGCTGGACAAATAGCGTAAACAACTACGTTTCATATAACACAATATCGGTCATATTCAAAGACTGTTCAAGTCCAGTATTTTACGTTAGTCAAAAAAAAACACTACAACACCTATCTAGCTAAGTCTTATATTTTCAAGTTAATTGTTTGATGACTAGCTAACGTTCGATGTGATAACAAGATGCCTTAAAATGAAAGTTGGAGTTGAAAGATCAACATCAACAACTTGACTAGTTAACAAGCCAGTTGCAATTACCGGTTGTGTAACTTCTGTTGCTAGCTAGCTAACTAGAATCATTTTGGATTCCATTCCAACAAGAAAATAACCCTGTCTTGATCAAGTTTAATAGCATATGGGTGTGTGTCTCTCAGGTGTTTCCTTTTGTGTTAGTTACTATCTGCCTTTCAGTTTCATCCTCTGTGAAAACAACTTATTTTATGAACTCTTAACAGACATACCTTCGCCTGTCCATAAATAAAGATGGCTATGAGGAGCGAGGCCAGGGCAGAGGTAGAGGAGGAGGAGGAGAGTTTTGGACCACAGCCACTGAGCAGACTTGAGGTAGGTGTTGGAGCATTTATGCCCATACTAATTTATCTGGGTACAGTATTAGCTGTGTGTTTGGCTGATATTGACTGAGGATATTCCACGTACTAGGCCGAACTGATCAATATTAAAATGTTGCGTCTTCACATCAAATGCATGATGGTAGTGTAATTTGCAATGTCTCCACACAGCAATGTGGCATCAGTGCCAGTGACCTAAAGAAACTGGAGGATGCAGGCTTCCACACCATTGAGGCAGTGGCCTATGCCCCCAAGAAGGAGCTGCTCAACATCAAGGGGATCAGTGAGGCCAAAGCAGACAAAGTCCTGGTTAGGTCACCTTCATTTACCAATCTCTTGAGTTTTTATTTTCTGCTCATTTTGGGTTGCCCACAGCTGATGTTAGGCCTGATATTATGACTGAATGATGTTCCCTACCTCTATGGTAACTCCTTCAGGCTGAAGCTGCCAAACTAGTGCCCATGGGCTTCACCACAGCAACAGAGTTCCACCAACGCCGAGCTGAAATCATCCAGATCTCCACTGGGTCCAAAGAGCTGGACAAGCTGCTACAGGGTGAGGCTGTCGTCTCTTTACCAGTTTCCTAGAACCTTTGTCATGACTCTGTTTTTCCACTTGCTCATTTTATTTGTCGCTATCATGTGTATAAAAGGCTTTCTCACTCTCTCTCAGGTGGGATAGAGACGGGCTCCATCACAGAGATGTTTGGAGAGTTCCGGACAGGAAAGACACAGCTGTGCCACACCCTTGCAGTCACCTGTCAGGTACTTGTCATGATGCCATTCTTTTTCGCACTAATAAAGGTAGACTTGGCTGTACACTCCTATCTCATCCCAATCACATCTGCTGACATCGTATGACAATAGCACTCTCAGGACATTGTTTGTGTAACGTTTTCCCCCAACTCAGTTGCCCATTGATCAGGGTGGTGGAGAGGGCAAAGCCATGTACATTGACACGGAGGGGACCTTCAGGCCAGAGAGGTTACTGGCTGTAGCAGAGAGGTGAGTTCTCTCATGGACCAACACAATAATAGAGTAACTACTGGGTTATATGACACTGACAGAGATTGAAATTTGGAGCAACATTATTCCACTACAGGAATAACACACATACATTTGTCTGTTCAGAGTTACCATCATACATGCAGTACTCCTTCAAAAAACTGTAGAATGTACTGTTGTCTTTTATTAGGTATGGACTTGTTGGGAGTGACGTTCTGGACAACGTAGCCTACGCTAGGGCATTTAACACAGACCACCAGACCCAGCTGCTTTACCAAGCCTCAGCCATGATGGCAGAGTCCAGGTCAGACTCTATCCCTCCCTCAACCCTATTCCTGAGGTTTCTGATCCTTCAGATGTTTTTCCATTTCTCACATTCCTTGTTTTCCTTCCATGTTGATAGTATTGTTTATGACATGAATTGAAGTGATCTGGAATAAGGCCACTACCCTCTGGTCACCCAGTCTGCAACGCTATTGGTCTCTAACCATATGGCCCCTTCTCTCTCAGGTATGCCATGCTGATAGTGGACAGTGCCATGGCCCTCTACAGGACAGACTACTCAGGGAGGGGAGAGCTCGCAGCACGGCAAGGCCACCTGGGACGCTTCCTGAGAATGCTGCTGAGGCTAGCAGACGAGGTAAGGCCAGGGTTAGAATTACAGGGGCTTTGTCTGTTTGCCGAATTTCTTATATCTATGACTCTGGTGTCGGTCAAATACAATGTTTCTGTCAGTAATGTTCTGAATACTACTTTGTGGGCCCATTTATGTGTGTGCACAACTCTTCACAGTATGGTCATAATGCTAAAAACGTTGTCTCTCGCCTCGTCAGTTTGGCGTTGCCGTAGTGATAACCAATCAAGTGGTGGCCCAGGTAGACGGTGCTGCTATGTTCTCGGCAGACCCTAAAAAACCCATTGGGGGCAACATCATGGCACATGCGTCCACTACACGGTGAGTAGCTCCATTGACCCCATTGGGCTTTGCAGAATAAGGAATGGGGTCAGTCTTTTACATTCTGCTCCCAATATGTTATGTTCTAATGGTTTCAAACATAGCATACCACTTGTTAAGCTCCTGGTGTTCTAGAAGAATTCAGCTAGCTATCAAACTAAACCTCTCCTCTGTTTTAGACTGTACTTGAGGAAAGGCCGCGGGGAGACGAGGATCTGCAAAATCTATGACTCGCCCTGCCTCCCTGAGTCTGAAGCCATGTTTGCCATTAACGCAGACGGGGTGGGTGACGCCAAGGACTGAGCTCAGCTGGAACCATGCCAGAGGGTGAGAGCATGGCTGTATTTCATGAGGCCATGCCCCTCACCGGCCACCGTAGACTTGCACAATGGCAGCTCTTTTGTGTTGTGTACACACTTCCCTGAGGCAAGGGCTAAGAAAAATGGCTAATATGGGAGATGCTGGCCATAACGGTTCCATACTGAGAAAATAATGCATTCCTACACTATGGGAGGGTACTTTGCATGGAGTGTTGCCTATTGCCCTAAGGAGCACAGTGATGCACATGCTTAGGCCAACACTGTATACAGATCTGTATGGCTCTAAGAAGCTTTGAGAACCAGAGGGAGCTCGGCTTCACAAATGTGTGGAATTTATTTCACCGACCCAACAGACTTGTAAAATAATGATTGTTTTCTTTTTGTAATAACTCCACTGGATATGTGGACTTATTATTTAAGAAACGTAATGTTTTGAAAGTATTGTGACTTTGGTTTTTCAAGGATGTCTGGTTTTCTACAAGTGTTTTTCATTACAACCATTGTTTGAATTTGACATTCCCACTGTATATCAGATCAATTCTATTTATTCTATTATTAAGAGCAGATGTTTGATTGGATAAACATACCAGTACAGACCCCTTGACACTCTTCAATTTTCCCTATTTCTTTGTCCATTCCAGAACTATACATTAAGATGCATTGTATTAAAACATTTTATCATTAGGATACCCTGTCTCCGGTCTACATCTATGAAGTTATTTGAACTCTGACTTAGTTGACAAATCATAATTTCCCAATTGTACTAATGACCAGGAAAAAATACAAAAGAATTGATGATCCTTTTTGGCGACAGAATACCATAAGCCAGAGGATAAACAAACGTTAATTTTATGAATGCATTTAATAAATGAAGTTCTCATGAATATACTGCAACTAAGTCCTTCCTGTAGTATTGATCAGTACAGTAAAAAGCTTCTCAAACCAGTTTCACACAACTGTCACAGGGAAAGATTAGAATATAACATCAATTTTAAAGGACTAAGGAATATGTATTGGAATGTTAAAATAGTGATAACTTGCCCTATTGAAACTAACAAATGGAAGAATACAAATGCAATGAGTGCCAAGTAAAAGTAATCTTTAACAAACAAAAATAAATAATCAAATGTAAACACTTCTCAAAACAAATCAAAGGCAGCATAACACTCTGGAATTAAATAAAGTAGATTGTCTTCAGTTAAGTAGGTAGCTTTGTTGGTTAAGAGCGTTGTGCCAGTAACCGAAAGGTCGCTGGTTCTAATCCCCGAGCCGACTAGGTGAAAAATCTGTCGATGTTCCCTTGAGCAAGGCACTTAACCCTAATTGCTCCTGCAAGTCGCTCTGGATAAGAGCGTCCGCTAAATGACAAAAAAAGTACTTAAGGTAGTTAGCCTAAGAAGAAAGGGTCCATGCTCCTTCTAAAATGCCATTACATGGACTTAAAACTGGGCTTGTGCTTAGTTCACTGAAACCCATTACGCACTATAAATCTTGAATAATCATACCATCTATGTGAGCTGTGAGGCTAAGTGATTTTCAGGACATGTTTTGATCCAATTTGATTTTAAATTTAGGATAAGTTGTCAACATTGCATCACTACACAATCTAAACAACGGTAGAGGTGATGTTTCACTGGAGTCTATACAGGGGAATTAGTCCGATCTAGGTTACTCTGCACACATTTGGTCAACAACACTAGCAAGAGACTCTGAAACATGCTAAATTACAGTAGTACCGTGACTGGTTAGATGAAAAAGTGCTTTGAAAACAAATGATAATAGCATACTAAGTAAATTTGTGAAAAGGAAATGAAAAAGGCAAAGATCATTCTTAAAAGGTACTGACTCCAATATAAATTGATCACTCCATATCGATTCAGTGACAAATATGATAGGAAGATGCGTATCTACTTGGCGTACTGAGGAGAGGAGGGAAAATTTGTCGTGAATGTTTCTAGTACACAGCTGATTGGGTGGCTTGTGATGAGCAAACTAGTTTGCCACTGGCCATCCAGTGGCAACCGCTGTGTCCCGCCCTATTTGTCCCCACCGGCGAGGGAGAGCTCAGTCGCCTTGTCAATCAAGGCTCCCAGCTCCGCCTCCAACTTAGCACTATCCTCCTCCTAAAGAATGAAAAGAAAGGTAAAAGTGCTGCCTAGCAAAGTCAACCCCATGTGCACAGTGAGCGCTCATCTCCATCCCAAAGAAATGTCTGCTTACCTCACTGGAGCCACTAGGCGTCTTCAACGCCAACAGGGCCCAGTTTTTAGCCTCCGACACATTCCCCAGCTCCTTGTGACACTAGAAATCAAAACAAACAAGAGGACAATCAGAGGATCAGAAAAGTTTCCTTTTACACTAGTTACAAACTGGAGAAATCTACCGTTTAATTGATCTTGTCTACAGAATTGTTTTTCCAATACCTTGGCGATGTAAAGTCTCACTGTCTTAGAGAATCCCGGGTTCAGCTCCTCCGCCTGAAATCAAACAAGGTGGCGAGGTGGAATAAAACTGATGACAACAACATTTCAATGATTTTTTTTCTTCTGTATAGAGGCTGAGAGTCAATTTGGCATTGGGCAACTGATCAAGTACCTTGAGGAAGTTTTCAAGGGCGTCGTGGAGAGTAGATGTTGGTGGTTTGTCATACAAGGCCGCTGCCGCCTTCCTCTCCAGCCAGCCAAGAGTGGAAACCTACAGAGGAAAAGGGATAGGGAGACAACGGACACGTTTTAGTTAGCATAGGACAGGTTGTATGGTTATGTTGTTTTTCAGCCAAGTCCCAATGTAAGGACTTGGGATAAAAAGCTTGTTCTGCTTACCTCATAACACCAGCGCCCCAGTAGGTAGAAACACAGTGGGTCATCGTCCCTAAGGGCAATCGCTCGGTCTAAATGCTCCTAGCGCAAAGCGAAAAGGCAGGGTAAATATTGTGCATACAAAAAAGTCACGTTTTCATGGGTTACTGTTTACAAAATGTGTTAGGAAAGTGCAGATCTGAACATACACAACTGTTTTCTGATTTAGATTAAACTTTATAAACGGAGGACTTGGATGACATTATTCCAATAGGATTCCGAATAGAGTAAGAAACAAACCTTGAGAATGTGACTGCTTTTCAGTTTTCCATGCATAGTCTCGTATTGGGAGGTGAGGCCTGTGAGAACAGCAAACCTGTGGAGGATTGAAAGAGATAAAAAAATAAAATCTTACCATTTTGCAAAGGGTTAAGGGTCGGCACTACATCTCTGACAGTTTTCAGTGACTCACCACTTGTGACATTCCGCATTCAGGCCATTCTTCTTTAGAGCAAATTCTGCTTCTTCACGACCTGTGGAGTATAGATCAAAGGTCAAAAGCAAACCACCTGATACATCTGACAGTGCATGTTAAAGTGAGGGTTCTCTACAAAACCAAATGTTTTCTTCACCTTGTTCTGCATACAACTTCTTCTCCTGCTTGTCCTCAGTGGAATCATACATGTCACTGTAGGCACGGGCCAGTCGCCATAGAAACTCCCTGCTGTCGCCATACTGGTATCACAAAAAAACAAAATATACAACATCAGAGATGTAGCTAGGCTTAACTAAAAATATTTTAACACAACTTCAGCAACATGAAAACAAAATTTGCCACAAAAGATCCACATTCTCAGACCCCTTTCATTTGGGCTGACCTGTAGCTTGTTGGCAAGGAGCAGATGGAAGCCCTCTGCCTTCAGCCTGGCATCACCCGTATGAAGGATATCACTCTGGGCCAGGAGTAATGCCAACTCCCCACTTGGCACTTCAGCCATCACCTCCAACATCTCCTCCTCCTCTTCATCATTATTATCTTCTTCCTCCTGTGGTTCCTCTCCCTCCTCCTGGGAGTCCTCCTGGCGTAGAGTGATGGTCGTGGCGCAGCTCTTGTCCTCATCCTCCTCGGATTCCTCCTCCGGCTCTCTTTCCGCCTCCTTGTCGGTCTCCCGATCCGTGTCCCGATCCGTGTAGTCCGACTCAGCGTTGGCGGTGGAGTACCTGAGACAGTGATGACAGTATAGGCAGACAGTTAAGGTCACTACAGAATTATAGTCTAAGGGCCAGCCACCAAAAATGTGTTGTTCCGTGACCCAGGAAACAAAACTGCGAAATGTCAAAATCATTATGTAGATAATGTTATGAATATGAAAACTGTGTGGTTCAACACTTGTAAAAGTTGCACATTCATTTGTTATTTTTAATAAAAGTTACAATTTTTTGCACCAAAATCATAGGCATCTTGGGTCATTTCCCTAGCAACGTTTCGACATTGCCATGTTTCACCTTGGTTACTTTTGTTGCACACTGCCGCACAGAACACATAACTATTTGTGAGGTCAGTGTTCATCCTTGCATAAGCTCAACCAACACGTTACCGATCCTTTACTGATCCAGTTGAACCCCAAAACGAGGAAATGTTTTAACCATGTACAGTGTTTCTCAATTAATATAAGACATTTTGGCAGCTGTATTTAGCCTACAAGGGACATCATTGATTTGCCTGCTAGACAAACTAAAGACAGCACAACGTTTGCTAGATAATACAGCTCACAAAACATTTAAGGTCCCGACAGCTACATAAAGCGCTGTTCTGGCATCTGAGAAAAATCAATTTAGCAGTTTTCAACAGCTTCTTATCTCGTATTATTTCGGATTCCTCAGGTCCGGTACATACCTTGCTTTCTGCAAGCATGGACAACGAAATGTGTGTAACAATTGCAACCAAGGTGTAACATGGCAACCTCAATGCTGCTAGGGGAAATTACCCAAAATGCGCTATGATTTCGAAATTGTGATATTCAATGATGTTGAAACGTTGAGGTTGTTTCCTGGGTCACGGAATGCCTTTTCTGAAGCCTTTTTTGGTGGTTGGCCCTTGGACTATTAGCCCTATGCTCATGTTCTTACAATGCTATCTATCCCATGCAGTGATTGCAGTCCATCCTGATCTTACCCTCCTTCGCTGGTCTCCCCTCCGTACACGCCTTGACTGGCAGAGAAATAGATAGAGCTGGAGCTCATGGAGTCGGTGCGTTCCCGATGGCTGATGACGTGGCGACGTCTGCGTGCCCTCTGGCTCTCCTCAACACCCTTCCTGCACAGAGCAGCAGAGAGACATTCAACATACATGTCTTGAACAAAAGACACTGAACGAAAAACCTGACACATGATATATCCTAGATTCAGTGACCCCTTGGTGAACTCATGTGGCCACCCCCACTCACTTGACATCCTGGATGATCTGCTGGGCGATGTCCTGCAGGCCGGTCCTGAGCTCGGCCACCTCGAAGCGGAGGGAGGACACACAGGTCAGCACCTCATCCAGTTGGTTCCTCAGCTCCACCTGCTGCTCAGGGGACAGCCCCTGCACCACCGCCTCCACCGCTGCCAGGGCCTGCTGCTGGGCCACCGCCTCTGTGAAGGGACAAACAGAGACCGAAGAGATGTGTGTGTGTGGGGGGGGGGGGATAGACACACACCATTGCAAAGATATACATACTCATTACACACAGGCAGACCGCTGGACACACACACTTACAAACGGACATGCATAAATTCACACAGTCTCAGCTTCTGCTGCTATGCCATGCAGTGCCTACCACCTACCTTGTTCATGTGGCGCCATGTGGTGGGGTGTTCCATCTGGGCTGTCTATCAAGTACTCAGTGGGGTTGGTCTGGAGTAATAATGTTTGAGATCTTCTTCTACTAATTTCTTTGTAGATTATTAATGTAATCAAGCCTACACCCGCGGTGGCTCCTACACCCAGTCCTATCATCCAATTTCTCCCTAACGGCTTCATGTTGTGCCAAATTGGGACCATAGCAACTTCTTTAGATAACTCAGCTAAATAAGGTTGTGTTTGATAAACAATTGCCTTGGTCTATTGATAAAGAAATGCTAGCTAGCTAGATAAATTACTTATAGGGTAAATGTAAATACATTTGTGTCAGTCTCGAAAACCCTCATGGTAGCGATATTGACAGCATGATATTGGTAACGTTAGCTACTTTTGCTTTCGAAATGATCCGACAGCTAGCTAGCTTACTAGCACAGAAATACAGTGAAATAAACGCTTTCCAATCAAGCCGTTGAATTTTATGGTTAGCTAGCTATCTTGCAATCAATAACGCCAAGTTAGCTGACATCTTTAGCTTTGCTAATCAATATCTTGCATTTGGTATAAAAACAAATATGCTAGCAAGCAATGTTAGCTAGTTAGGAACGATTAATATCGTCATCCTTGAGCTGTCAAAACAAGACGCTCGCATCGTGGTACTACTGACAGTGTGACGACAAGCAACCGTTTTAGGAGAACGCCCTTGAAAATGATTATCTTAGCTAGCTACCTACTCTATTCCGCCTGCTGATAAGATACGTTTAAACTGTATAATGTAAGAGCAGTAACCTTAAAAACGCCATCACAACTTGTACCACTTTCGTTTGCGTTTCGACCTGTGCCGAGGGGGAATGATAAAAATGCAGGACTCCATGAAACGTGTCACATATTAATAATTCCGTCGAGAAACTATAGCTGTGTTCGAATACCCATACTAACATACTGTTATGTTTGTTCCTTGTTTAATGACAAAGCGGGGCATAGGTTTAACTACTTTTAATAAACAGATACTTCAACTAGCAATATAGTTGTGTAGCCATGCAAGGCATACTTCAACTCCCACCCTCGCACGGCTTGCTGGGTAACGTAGTCTTAATGTTATTAACACATAACAACAAATCTTCCTTCCTTTAAAATAAAACAAATTTTTCTCTGTAACTAAACATGTCACATCTCACATTTGTTTACTCAACATGCATAACATGCAATTTTCAATAACACACATTTCTTTCCCTGTTTTTTTTTTTTTTTTTTTTTTACATCACTTAAGAGGCAAACATATTTTTTTTTGTTATTTTTTTTTTATTCATATTTTGAGTGTTTTTTTCAACTAAATGCAGTCTCTGTCCAACAATACTCTATTGTGGCTCTATTTGTTTTCACATAAACAAAAACATTCAGTCCAGGTGCCCTTTTATTTTTGTTGCAATTCTCAATAAGCCTTTCAGGGGCTCTGACAGTCCTTTTTGGTCGTTCTGCTTAAGTGTTTACTGAAGCAGTTGGACAGCGTTCGTTGTCAGTCAGGGTGTTCTGACTGAATTGTCCATTGCTAAAGGCATTTGACGCTTCAACAGTATCCTCCTGATGATCCTCAGTCCCTTGAGTGAATGGCTGAAGCCTTCGATCCACTCTGTCTCGTCTCAGTTGTGATCCATGCTACGTTTGGATCTCATAGGATCGTGGTGCAGCTTCTCTCTGCACGCAACCTTGCTGCATCCAGGTTCCTGTAGTGACGTCTCGGAGTCATACATGATCTCCAGGTTTCAGTTCAGGTAAGTGTCTTGCACTTTTGTTGTGTCGCTGTGTTTGTTTGTCTTTCTGTTTTTCCTTTGCAAGTTTGACTTTGTGAGCACCTCTGGGTGTTAGCAAGTCCTCATGGATGGGTAGATTGGTTCTGATGCGATGTCCCATCAACATTTGTGCAGGTGAAAGTCTGTTCTACAGTGGTGCGCTGCGGTAGATCATCAGACTTTTTAGGAAATCTTCCTTTCCATAGTGTGCCTTTTTCATCAGACCTTTGACAATTTTGACTGAACTCTCTGCCAAGCCGTTGGACCTTGGGTAGTTGAGCTGGAGGTGTTGTGTCGGAATCCCAAGTCGTTACCGAACGATCGGAATTCGTAACTTGAGAACTGTGGGCCATTGTCAGAGTACAGTTCAGATGCAACCCCATGTCTTGTGAAGACTGATTTCAGGTAGGTGATTACAGCTTTGCTGGAGGTAGTTGGCAGTGTTGCTACTTCAGGGTAGTTTAAGTAGTAGTCGGTAACAACAATGTGACTTTTGCCACAACAATGTGACTTTTGCCATTGCAGTCAAAAAGGTCAATTCCAACTTTGTAGTAGGGTCGGTTGGGTACTGGATGAGGCATTAGCGGCTCTGCTTGCTGCTTTGGCCTGTAGGTCAAACACAGCTCACATGAAGCAGTGGTCTGGATGATTTCCTGGTTCATTCTTGGCCAGTACATTACTTCTCGTGCTCGCCGTTGCGGTCTCTCTTTTGATCTGCTCCATTCTGTCAGAAGACACAGGAAGTGATGCTACAATCATGTCGATGCAGGCCTGAATCTCAGTGTTTTTCTGTGTGTCGGCATTCTCTTTCTTGTCAACTGCTCGAGAAAGAGTGTCGGCGAACATGAACTTTCCCGGGGTGTAGATAATCTTCACATCATACTTTTGCAGTCTGATCAACATTCTCTGGATTGTCTTTGAACAATCATTCAGTGGCTTAGACAGGATTGACACCAATGGTTTGTGGTCGGTTTCTCCTTCGAAGGCTTGTCCGTAGACGTATTGGTGAAACCTTTCACACGCGTATGTGCTCGCCAGTAGTTGTTTCTCTATTTGTGCATACCTTGTTTCTGCACCTCTCAAGGCTCTGGACGCATAAGCGACAGGTTGCCATGTGTCGTCATGCTGTTGCAGAAGAACTGCTCCTAGGCCAAACTGTGATGCGGCTGCAGAAATCCTTGTGCTTTTCTCTAGATCATAGAACCTGAGCACTGGCTCTTCTGTGATTGTCTTCTTCCATTTTTTGAAGCAGTTTTCCTGCTCATGGGACCATTCCCATTCGTTTTTCTGTTACAGAAGACATCTGATTGGAGCAGACTGTTCTGACAGTTGATGTATGAACTTTACAAGGTAGGTGATCATGCCCATGAAGCGTCACACATCGTCCTTGTTCTTCGGGCGCTCCATGTTGTTGATGGCTGATGTTTTCCTCGGGTCTGGTTTGACTCCATCCTCTGAAAGTACGTCTCCCATGAAGGTAAGTGTTTTCACACTAAACTCGCATTTGTCCTTGTTTAGTTTCAGATTGACTTTCTGTGTCAGGTCCAGCACTTGTCTCACTCTCGTGTCGTGTTCTTCTTTTGTGGACCCCCAGACGATGATGTCGTCCATCATGGTCTCTACTCCTGGAATGTGCGAAGATTATGTGGATTGTCTTGTGGTAGACCTCTGGCGCTGAGAGAATCCCATATGGAAGACGAAGAAATCTGTACCTGCCCTCAGTTGTGTTGAATGTGCATAGCCTTGAGCTTGCATCTAGCTTCATTTGCCAGAATCCTGATGAGGCATCAAGCTTACTGAACCACTTTGCTCCAGCAAACTGCAAAATTATCTATTTTCTGGTTGGCAACTTGAAATGCTCTCGCTTGATAGCTTTGTTGAGATCTCTCGGGTCTAGACATATCCTGAGATCGCCGTTATTTTTCACCAAAATAACCAGTGAGCTTACCAATCTGTAGGTTCATCCATTTTTGTGATGACTTTTTCCTAAGTGCAAATGGAGCTGTTCTGCATGCATGCACAACTGGAGTATTTTTGTGATCAGTACATATTTTGTGTTCTCCAGGTAAACATCCGAGACCCTCAAACACGTCCTCATACTCAGTCAGTAGTGATTCTTGGTAATTTTCACTCTGTGATGTCACTACATACACGCTTTTCACCAAATTGAGCTTTTCACATGCACTGATTCCTAGGATAGGCTGTACACTCTTTTCCACTATCAGCAGCTGTGCTTTGAACTGTTTTCCTTTGTGCTGTAAAGTTACTATGCAGCTTCCTTTGACTGGTACATTCTCCCCAGTATAACCAGCAACTTTGATTTTCACAGGGTGTATTTTTCTCTCCACTTTCAGTGTTTTGTAGTCATCCAGCGACAACAGTTTACCTGAGCTCCAGTATCGAGCTTGAACTGTATTATAATTTCATTCACAGTCAATGGCACAATCCATTCAGCTTTTACTGCATTGCATATTTCCACAGAATCAACAAATAATTATTCAGTCTCCTCTTTGACTGTGTGAACCTTTTTCTTTGTAGCCTCAGCTTTGCAGCATTTTGAGAAATGATTATTTTCCCCACAGTTGTTACACGATTTGCCATATGCAGGGCAATTTCTTGGCTTGTGGATAACTCCACATTTTCCACGTGTAGTGTTTTGATTGTTCTCTTTTGCTTGTGTTTGTTTTGTAAAGCGTTGTGTGTGTTGTTCCTCTCTTTTTATTGCATGCACTGACATCTCATCCCTGCACAGCTCTTTAGCTTGTGCTCTGGTGGTTTCAGCTGCTCAACGCATATTCACTGCTTTATCCAAAGTTAAATCTTGCTCAGGCAAGATGCAACAGACTATCCTGTCTTTCAGATTTTCAAATTCACATGTTTTGTTCTGTGTGTTCAGCTCAGCCAAGTACTGGTCAAAACTGACTCCCTGTTTCTGATCAGGAGAGAAAAACTCAAATTTAGCCATGAGCACAGTCAATGTCAAGTTTGCCTCGTCTACCTGAAAGCTATTGTAAATGTTCAATGCATCCTCTCCAATAATATGCAGAAAAATGGAAGCTTTCAATTTGACATAATCTACCCCTGCTCCACTGGCTGCTAGGTAGATATTGCATCTCTGCTTGAAACCTTTCCAATTGTCGGCTAGATTGCCTGTTAACTGCATAGGAGTAGGAGGACTAAACCTATCCATGACGGGGAACAGGTACAGTTTCAATTTCTCTTATTACGGTAAGTTGCATATCAACTTGCTCGTCAACAGATTCAGTGCAGCCTCGCTCTCGCTGCTGCGGCTCGTTGGCATCGCTCGAATACTCACGTCACTTGACTTGTGGTAGAATGTTCAATTTTCAACATGGAAATTTGCAAAGTTAATCCTTTATTTGCTCTGTCTCTTCATAGCGACTACCAATCTGACACAATGTTATGTTTGTTCCTTGTATAATGACAAACCGGGGCATAGGTTTAACTACTTTTAATAAACACATACTTCAACAAGCAATATACTTGTGTAGCCATGCAAGTCATACTTCAACTCCCCCACCCTCGCATGGCTTGCTGGGTAACGTAGTCTTAATGTTATTAACACATAACAACACATATACTACATACTTAACGAGTATATACTATTAGTTCATTTTAGTATACTGTAAACGAACGGTATCCTTTCAGTTGAGCGTACTAGCCCGTCGCCTGTCTACCGGAAGTTGATGCTGTTGCTATGCAACCCCTTGCTAGCTTGTAAGCGTTACAAATTACTAGCTAGACATTTTACGATTTCGGGTTTGTTCCTAAATTCAATCTGGAGTGTGTTAAGTTGCGTCAATTCAAATATGGTATAGGAACAAAAAGAGGTCAATACACGTCTTCTAAAATAGACTAGTATTTTAATTAATGCAAAACACTTCAATGGTAAATATGATGTTCGTATATACGGGTCCACTGAAACACCACGCAGGGCAGTCAGAGAACTGAGCCATTGTTATAAATTCTTCTTTAAATACTCTGACAGAGATAGTTCCTGCTCCAAGCAGGCCTATCAGAGTAGAGTCTGAGCGTGGTTTAGACTTACTCAGCCTATCGTTGGCGCAC